TGTCAGTGGGGTCGCCCACCGATGTACCTGCACGTACCTAGGCTTGCGTTGAACACTGTCGGTGGGGTCGCCCACCGATGTACCTGCACGTATACCTGGATAACAGATGGAAATGGTTCGTCGGCCCGTCGGCAGACTTGTGCATCGGTTCTGTTGTCCTTTTCGGGGAAAGCTCACACATCAAGCACCCCAAGCAAAACTGGAACGCCGCACAAGACCAAGGCGCACACACACTTTCACTGAAGCCAATGAAGGGTATGTAGCATCATCGATGTTGTTCTCAAGGAAGTGACCCATCCATGCCATACAAATACGTGCCTCAAAGCAAAAGGTCGCAAATCCAAACCAACCTAAATTATCCTGGCCATAATTGCACTTGAGAATGCAAGCCAAGCCAGTAAAATCGAGTGACATTCCAGGCTTTTGACTGTAGTTCTGGATACGGATGCTGTCTGGACCGCAAACTTTTGGAAGACCAACGTGGCATTGAATGCCTAACTTGGGAACCGTGCGCACGTGGGTGTACTGCACAGTATAAAAGTTATACTCCGGTCCTACGACTTATTTAGCCATGGGAGGCACATAGAAAAAATATTTTTCGATTCAAATCGGAGTCTGTAGCTTCTCGTCCCTGCAGTACTGCTTAAAGTTCAACCACGCTCTATAGAGGCGTTCATCGTCGCAACAAGGCGCAGCGTCAGATCCATCCATCCAAACATTTGCTTGGTCAAGTAGTACTCTAAATGTGGATCCCAAAATCCACAAGCTAACTCCCAAGTGTAGCACATGCATTGCACACCACTTGACCATGCTCCTCTTGAAGTTCGGAACCTCTAGTAAAGGACCTGGGTTTGGTCCGGTTCTAAGTTGTATGGAGAAGCGGATTGTTTAGCATGTGGTTTTGTACATACACATACTTTAAAATATACTCGTCCAAAAAAGAATCCAAGTAACATTTGGGACCAGGCTTGACACAGTCGGTCCAGAATTCATCATCACTGTAGCGGGGAGCTTGCAGGGTGGGTACCATGCCTCTAAGACCAGATTAGACTATTTTCTAACTATTAGTCTATTTCAATAATTCTAACTAATAGTTAGAATTCAAATAAACTAATAGTATAAACTAGGGGATATTTTAAAGTCTATTTTGTTGAATAGACTCAAGTCTATTTTGCTAAACAACCTTGGAATGTCAAGATTATGTTGGAAAAACCTGAGATCTTGTAAAGACATTTTGTTAGTTCATTTTAGGTGTTTGTGGTCACACTTTTGAAAAACACAAACTTGAGCAATGTGTGTGGCCCAAGTAACATTGAGCAGAGCCTAAGTAACATGGCCTAGGTAACCGTACATGGCCTAGATAACACGCAAATTTTCTTTCAAACTCACATCACAAAGTATTTTTGGTGTCAAGTGTTGTGGAAGGCTCACAAGCTTCCAGAGGATCAGCAAGACTGACAAAAGGGTAGATGTTGTAGTTTCATGAAGAAACAAGTTTTGTCTATGTTTGTCCTAACTAGCATCGCACACATCTCCTTTCTTTGCTTTGAGCACCTGTAGCACACATGGCCGTCTCTAAGGGAATGAAGGTGGACCCTTCCAGTGGTGTGATGGACCTGCAAAGAGTGCTGCCAAAGGAAAGGAACAGAGGAGCTGACAAAGATCTGTTTTCTTGTTTGAAACATCCTACCAATGCTCAGTGGAGTTGGAAGACAAGTTCTTGTCCTCAATGGATGGCTCAATGTCATGAAATGTTGGTGCATTTCTTGAAGATTGCACCAAATGGGCTACTATAGGTCAGCCAAAGTTAAGCTAGCACTACAGAGGATGATCCAAGACTGTTCAAAAATGGTCAACAAAACACACTTCCATACAGCTGACTTTGTGGACCAGGTAGATCAAAGGATTCGTGTTTTGCTTGCACAAGCCAGAGGCATCAAGAAGAACCATGAAGCTTACGCAACAGCAATGAGGAAGGCCACCTTCGATTCCAAAGAGAAGGTTGACACCATTTTGGAACACCTGCAGTTGGACGGAGCTGATCACAGTACTCCTTCGACAGTACTCGCTCCACAGCTGATGACAGTACTCCTTCCATTTTACTTCACCAAATAGGTCAATATTACGTATACAAGCCCAAACAATATCTCAATAAATATATGGAAATATTGCACTTTAAAAAATCAAATTCAACTATGACACCAAAGTGACACAAAAGTGACACTAATAGTGCCACTTTTATTTTGAAACTGCAACTTTTTCAGTGTAGTTTTAAATAAAAGTGACACTTTAAGTGTCAGTTGCAATGTAAAAGTTGTCACTTTTGTGTCGGTTTTGTGTCGCTTTTGTGTCGCTTTTGTGTCGCTTTTGCGTCGGTTTTGTGTCGGTTTTGTGTCGGTTTTGTGTCGCTTTTGTGTCGCTTTTGTGTCGGTTTTGTGTCACTTCTGTGTGTGTGTCACTTTTGTGTCGCTTTTGTGTCGCTTTTGTGTCACTTTTGTGTCGCTTTTGTGTCGGTTTTGTGTCACTTTTGTGTCACTTTTGTCTTACTTTTGTGGCACTTTTGTGTCGCTTTTGTGTCGCTTTTGTGTCAGTTTTGTGCCAGTTTTGTGTCACTTTTGCGTCGCTTTTGTGTCACTTTTGTGTGTCTTTTGTGACACTTTTGTGTCAGTGTTCAGTACTTTTATGTCAGTGTTATAATATGTTTCATGTTTTGCTTACGTCTTTTGTGATTTTGTTTGTTAAGTTCGTGTAGGTTAGTTGAAATGGCTAAATGAAAAACTAGGCAACTACATGCACAGTAGTATGAGTCCACTGTGGTTATCTATCTTGAAGCATTTGGCAACTTGTATTATGTTTGTTGTGTTGTCTTTTGTGGCTCCAGAGTTGCTTTGTTGCAACAAAGT